CCCGCGGCCCCCCCGCCGTCGGGCGGCCCCCGACTCACCCAGGGGCTGGCGCGAGGGGTGGTACACCTGCAGGTCGAAGGGCTGGGTGTTGGTCCGCTGCACCACGGTGACGTTGTGGCCGGTCCACTTGTTGGCCTTGGCCAGCGTGTTGGTGCGCCAGTCTGTCCAGTACACCTCCCCCCCGTACAGCGTCACTGCAAACGGGTGTGACAGGAACTCGTGTCCCCGCAAAACCTCCATGTGGCCGGAGCCGTCGTACCGAGCTGAGTAAATGGCATCGGACCTGGGAGCGTGGTCGGGCAGAGTGAGGGCGCGGGCCTCAGCCCCGGGCACCCCGCCCGCCCGGGAGCCTCGGCTGGGCCCGCTGGCGCGGGTCCTCCCCAGCCCCGCCGGCCGGCGCAGAGAGTCACGCCACGCCAGGACTGGGGCTCAGCTCTCGGGACTCCATTTCTGGGCTCACGTGTCCCCTGGCCCCAGCAGCCCCTCTGGGAGGCCACCTAGAAAGCGCCCTCCTCCCCGGGGCACAGAGACGCTGGCGGGGCGCACACTGCCGTACCCCGAGGCGGCCGCTGGCCCTCGCCCAGGCCGTCCCGTGAGGGACAGACTCGCCTCGCCTCGCCTCCCCCGACCCCCCACCCCGGCCGGCCTCTGCCCTCCTATCCAGCCCTGTGCCGCCCTCATGGCCGCCGGGTTCCAGCCTGGGCCCTGCCCTGGGGCAGAGGCCGGGGGTGGGGGCCTCCGGCCGCAGAGGCCACTGACCTGGCGTCGATCCAGAGGATGCGCTTCTCCAGGTAGTCCACGGTCAGCCCGTTGGGCCAGCCCCCCGAGCCGGTCTCACGGTGGATGGTCCGGCGCCCGGCCCCACTCATGGAGGCGGCCTCGATGCGGGGCAGGCTGGCGTCCCAGTCTGTCCAGAACAGGATCCTGCGGGTGGGGGCGATCGGGAGGGTTGAGGTTGGCGTCTGGGCCGGGCTGTGGGGGGGTCGCAGGAAGGGGGCGAGGGGCGCGAGGGGCATCGGGGACACAAGGGCCCCGCCGGGCCGGCTGGGACTCCAGGGGACCGTGGGCCAGAGCGGGACTGGGGGGGGCCTTACCCATCCCGGGGGTCCAGCGCGATGGCCCGTGGGTGCTCAATGTCCCCGGCCAGCAGGGTGGTGCGAAGGGTCCCGTCCAGCTTGGCCACCTCAATCTGGTCCAGGTTGCTCTCCACCCAGTAGATGTTGCCTGCGATCCAGTCCACAGCCAGGCCCTCGGGGGTGGCCAGGCCGTACTGAATCACCACCTCGAAACTGGTCAGCGCTGCGGAAGGGAGGGTTGGGGGCTGGAGTCCCGTGGGGGGCCCAGGCGGAGGTGGGCCACCCCCAGCCTCGATGCCTTTGCGCTCTCGGAGTGCTCCGAATCTAACCGGGGTCCCCAGCCCCGGCCCACGGGGGGCCACGTGGGATGGGAGCAGCCCCCTGCCGCTTGCCACGCTCCGAGGGGCTACCGCGGGAGCGGTCAGACAGAGGGCCGGGGCCCTGGGGCCGCCCAGACCTGGACAGGCCTCGCCGAGGTGACCAGAGAACGGCCTGGAGAGTTTCCGCGTGACACGGACGTACAGCACCTCGCTACGCTGAAGCCCCGCATGGGCCCAGCCCCGCGGGGGACGCTGGAGGGGCCCCCGGCGTTCCCCATGACAAGCACCTCCAATCCCTCTGCTAGAATGTGCGGCTGGAGACGGCGCCCCCACTCTCCTCCCCGCGCCTCCTTTCGCCTCGTCTCTGTCCTGTTTGTGTCTCTCAGTTTTGTCTCCACCTGGCCCCGATCTCCGGGAGGCCAGGCGTCTGGCCCGCTCCTCTCGCTGGCCTCTCCCCGGTGACCCGGGCCTGCAGCGGGGCGCCCCGCGTGACGTCTTCATGGAAGACGGGCAGGAGCAGGCAGGTACCCACCCCGAGTGGCTTTTCCTTTCAAGCCTGCAATTCTAGGATTTGGGGAGTTGAGCTCCAGGCCGCTCCAGGAAAGACTGATCATTTTGTTAATTATCAGGCTGGCAGTTCTGCTGACGATAATTACGGGGCGTCAGGCACCGAGACCCACAGCAAACTCTAACCCAATTAACGCGGTTGGGGGGTGGGGCGGGGGCCTCGCTGCCGGCTGCCGGGCCGGCGGCCTCTCGAGCCCAGGCCTCCTCTGCTGCCCAGCAGCAGCCCTCCCGGCCCAGCGGTCACCTCCGTTGTCCAGCAGCTTCCCGCGGTAGATCTTGTCCTCCACCACGTCCGTCCAGTAGAGGGCGCTCTGGCTGAGGTGGAAGTCCAGCGCGATGGTGTTGCGCAGGCCGGGCACCAGGACGCTGTAGTCCCCTCTGTGAAGGTCGATGCGCCGGATCTCATGGCGGTTGGAGAAGATGATGAACGGCTTGAAGGGGTCTGGGGGGAGAAGAGGGGCTCGCTGCCGCCCGGCCACGCTTCGGGGGACCCCCAGGCGGGACCGCAGGCGGGCCGGGCCGCCGCTCACCCAGGCTGCGGCAGCTCTCGCCGTCGGGCTCCAGCGCCCAGCCCTCGTAGCAGGAGCACTTCACGCTGAACTTGTTCTGGTCGCACTTCTGGCTGCACTTGAGGTGCCGGGCGCAGTAGCTCTGGATCTGGCAGGTGTGGTTGTCAGGCCCCAGCTCCATGCCCAGGGGGCACGAGCACACGATGCCTTCACCGGGCGCCACTGAGCAGTTGTGGCTGCAGCCGCCGTTGTTCAGGGAACACTGGTCTGGGTGCAGAGCGGGGCGGTCAGGGCGGGAGGCGCAGGCCTGGGGGGCGGCCATCGGGGGCCAGGCAGCGTCTGCCCACCGCGTCCTTCTTTCCTTTCCTGGCCCAGCCTCTGTCCCACCTAACTCCAGGCTCTCTGGGCCAGGGCGGGGCCCCGGCCAGCACCTACCCCAGAGGCGCACCCAGGTCACAGCCGCATCACCTGTTCCCCCACCCCTCCTGAAACCTGTGGTGGGGGTCCCCCCTCTCCTGACCCGGGTATGTCCGGAACGTCTGCCTGGGCCCTCACCCCGAGGGCTGCCGGCCCGCCGCGCCCTCAGCTGGTCTGTCTGCTGCTCAGCCCCAAGCCACGGCAGGGCCCCGCCCGCGTCCCGACCCCAGGTGCACAGCAGCCGCCTCACACCGCCCGGCCCGGCCCTCACCGCACAGCTCGCCCTCATCCGAGCCGTCCCCGCAGTCGTCCTTGCCGTCACACAGCTTGTCGGGGGGCAGGCAGACGGCGCTGCTGTTGGCGCAGGGGTGCGAGGGCGGCCGGCAGGCCAGCGACTCGCAGTGGTCCTCGTCCGAGTTGTCCTCGCAGTCGCTGTCGCCGTCACACACCCAGGCTTTGCTGATGCACCGAGCTGGGGGCCGGACGGCGGGCGGGGTCGGGCCTGGCCGGGGCGCGGGCCCGGCCCCCAGCACCCCGGCCTCTCTAACAGCCACGCCTGGGGCCCGCCGGGAACCTCGAGGCTTCTCTCGGGTTCACGCGGCGACAGAGGCAGAAATCCGCAGAAGGCGCCGACGCCCCGACCCGGGAAGGTCGCAGCAGCCAGGGCCCTCGGGAGCCCCCCGGCCCCGGCCTCAGCCGGGCATCCCCCCACCCGGGCCGTGGCGCCGGCCGGCTCCCTCCACGCCCCTTACCCGAGTCCTTGCAGCCGAACTTGACGTTGGGGTCGCACACGTGGGTCACCCCCTCGCAGCTCTTCTCGTCGCTGGAGTCCATGCAGTCCGTGTCCCCGTCACAGCGCCACCGCAGGGGGATGCACAGCCCGTCCAGCCGGCACTGGAACTCGTCCGAGTGGCAGCCGCCCGGGGGCCTCGTGGCTGCAGGGCCAGTGGGGCGCACAGGAGGCTCGGT